CAAGATAAAGACAATGAAATAGAATCATCTCTATTCATCTAACGCAAATTTTAAATTTTTATAACTTATTTACTATTTTAAGTAACATTTTATACATGTATATAATTTTGTATTTTGATTTTGTATTTTGATGAAGATAGAATCTATCTTCTTAAAATATCCTATGAATATATTACATTTTATATGCTAAATAATATATTAACATTAATTTAATAATTTAATAATTAATAATAATAATAATAATTTAATAATATTAATAATATTTAATAACCTGAATTATAGCCTGAGGTATATTTTGTTGCTGACAGATCGGTATACCAAAAAGTTTCAATACCGGTGCACCAGCTGAATATGTTTCTGTATCCCTCGTCGAGAGAATTGCACCACCTAATATAATTTCAATATATTAAATATTGTATTAAATAAATATTTTACTAAACATTTACAATTATAACTATTATAATTATGTATAACTAAGTAATACATAAATCATATTTTAAATTAAATGAAATTAATTCCAATTATATCATATGTATAATTATTATATCATATGTATATTGTATCATATAATTATATTTTAGTAAATTGAATTAATTTTCTAAATTCATTTTGTAATAATACTATCGGATAAATATTGGATAAATAAGTAAAATAATTCACAAGAAATAAGTTCAAAAATTTTTTGTGAATATTTAAAATCACAGATATATTAATAATAAAATTTAATTTAAAAATTATACAATTAGATATTAATAAAATGTAACTAATGATAAAATAAGGCAATAAAAAATAATGAAAATTCTGTAACAATAATATAATCTTGTAATGATTAAATAAAGTGAATAATATAAATTAAACAATGTTACAATTATTATTAATATATTATAAAAAAAATAATCTATTTTAAATAATATTAATTTCGATGATTTAATGAAAGTTAATTTTCTATTTTCATTTTTTCGCAATGAAGTAGGATATTTATACTGATTACTGTGTCCTTGATTTATTTTTATTTATTTTGCATATTATTAAATTATAAAATTGAAAGTAATTAATTCTTAAAATAAATTTTAAATATTAATCATATTAATTATACATAAAAAAATCTGAAATATCTTTATATTCTTTAATTCTGAAAATAATTTTTCAAATTTGTGATGCTTGCTTTAATGATTTTTCTGTTCACAATAAATTCTGAACTGTATGTTATCATATATCATAAAATCATATATTATTATTATCATATATATTTAAATTATTTAAAATAGATGTAGAAAACAATTAATTAAATTTAATGTCTTTATTTTTTTTTGAAACAATTAATTTATTATTATTTAAAATCAATTTCATATTTGTTTATTTATAATCATGTTTTTTGTAATATTTCATTTACTATGTCTCTTGCAAAAAATCTTTTGATAAAATATAATTTATTATATTTATTATTTGTTTATTTTATGACCAGTATGATATATGATACACAATATATAATGCATAATATTCATACATAAGAGCTCAATAATAGATATATAGTGATTATACTTTTTATTACATAAAAAGTAATTGATTCTTTAATATTCCTCTTTTTTATTATTTGTTTTATTTGTAGAAAAAATTTATGTTAATAGAAATTAAAAGAAAAAAAATTAAATTATATTTTAAACTATATTCGAAAATAGAAATGAAATAGACAAAAATGTTTATTTTTACCATATATCAAATTAAACTCTCAAAGATAATACAAGATATATAATACATAATAACTAGTAAAAATATTCTAATCTAAAATAAAAAAAATATATTTTTTTCCATATAAAACCTGAATTTGCAAGCGCATAATCCGTTCTTCCAGTTTTGTCAGCATCATACGTTTGCAGTTCATTTTTCACCAATTCTCGAACGGCCTCTGGAGACATAGCCTTTAGCAACGCTTTCGTGTGCAACTCCATCCCTATTTCAAATTATAAAATCATTTAATTATTACAAAACAATATGTTCGTGTTGTAACTGATACATCATATCTTTTTTACCCTCGGATACTTCGTTTCTTAAATAGAGAATGGCCTCAGACATTTTTGGTATCACGTATCCAACCTCTTTCAACTTACTCTTTAAATCGTCTCGTGTCTCCATTACGTTCTTTACTTCCATCTAAGCGAACATTAAAATTGCGCATTAATGTCATTCAATGATCGGATAAGATAACGGTACAGTAATTACCGAAAGAGTATTCAAATGTGTTCGTAGATTCACCAAATCGGATCTGATTATCTTGAATGTGGCACTAGCTGAATATTTGTCGCACAAATGAGACACGGACATTGCTGAAACGTTTAAGGAAAAGATTTTTTCCAGAATTTTTCGTTTTTTTTTTATTTCGAAATTCTCTTATAAATGTAAAATTGTTATTAATGTTCTTTTTGAGATACAAAATTTGATTTCTTAAATAATTGTACATGTAAATAAAATCTTAGATATTAAAAATTTAATTTTTAAAAAAAAAACAAAAATTAAGAATAAAAGAATTGTATTTTTAAATTCATTCTTTAGTTATTAATAATTAAAGATATAACGAAAAGTTGTAAACATATTTCCTTTGTTTCTTTTATTATCATGAATAAAGAAGAGCAATTTATAAGAGAATGATCTTTAAATCTAAATTAAATTTCGAAATTAACGATATAGAAGAGAAGATATTGAAGATTATGATTTCAAAATTACTGTACTGTTTAAATTGTTCTATATTATTTGTATAGGAAAATTTAGTTGCATTCAAAGATATTTTTTTCGATTTCTAAATATCAATTAAGATATTTATATTAAGATTTTTAATAAGTAATTAAATCAACTAAATTAGTAATTAAAAGATAAAGTTGAAAAAGAAATTTTTTTATTTTCATTTGAAGAATCATTAAATTATATTAAATTTTTGAAAATCATATTAACAAAATACCTTGAATTGTGAATAAAGTTATTAATAATAATTTATTACATAACGAAAATAACAAATATTGAACATTTAACAATATTGAACAACAAAATTTCTAATATTATATATCAAAATAAAATTGTGATATAATAATATAAAAAAGACATGCAGGATATATATATTTATTCTAATAATATAACATATTATATTTAAAACATAAGGAATTAAAAATGCATCATTTAAATTTTCGAACTTGAAAATTATTTATGATAAAATATTTTATATTTTGCTTTATTTTTATTGTTACATTTATGTAATAAGATATAAAATACGCTATGTAATAAGATATAGTATATTATTTATGTAAAACTAATGTGTCATTAATAAAATATAGATTAATAAGAAAAATAATTAAAATAAATATAGATTAATAAAACACGTGACATGAAATGTATTAACATTATAAATTCGAACTGGAATTTTAATTTTAATTTATAAAAATCTATATAATAATAATAATAATAATAATAATAATAGTAATAATAATAATCATAATAATAATAATAATAATAATAATAATAATAAGAATAATAATGATAATAATAATAATAATAATAATAAGAATAATAATGATAATAATAATAATAATAATAATAAGAATAATAATGATAATAATAATAATAATAATAATAAGAATAATAATGATAATAATAATAATAATAATAATAAGAATAATAATGATAATAATAATAATAATAATAATAAGAATAATAATGATAATAATAATAATAATAATAATAAGAATAATAATGATAATAATAATAATAATAATAATAAGAATAATAATGATAATAATAATAATAATAATAATAAGAATAATAATGATAATAATAATAATAATAATAATAAGAATAATAATGATAATAATAATAATAATAATAATAAGAATAATAATGATAATAATAATAATAATAATAATAAGAATAATAATGATAATAATAATAATAATAATAATAAGAATAATAATGATAATAATAATAATAATAATAATAAGAATAATAATGATAATAATAATAATAATAATAATAAGAATAATAATGATAATAATAATAATAATAATAATAATATAAAAAAATCATAATAAATTTTTTTTCAAAAAATATACTTTTAATATCTTTTCAATATACTTTAAAACATGTAAAATAGTAATAATAATAATAATAATAATAATAATAATAATAATAATAATAATATAAAAAAATCATAATAAATTTTTTTCAAAAAATATACTTCTTTTAATATCTTTTCAATATACTTTAAAACATGTAAAATAGTAACAAAAAATTGCATAAAGTTATTTATTAATTGAAATTAGCAGAACAATAATTATATGTAAGATTGTTTTTAATGACAATTTGTTTAACAATTATTCAGTCATAATATATATTCAGTTATAAATTAATTAAATTTTTAACAAGTTAACCATAAAGTGACGTACCTAACAACGATGTAATAATGCAAAATACAAATGGTTTGATGAATTTATAGTACCAAGGAGATCGAGAGGAATTCAATATAATAGCTGGACAGGTTCCTCCATTTACACAGCAGTACGTGTTTCGAACGCTCATCGGATCGTACTCATAATCTTGGATTTGATTTTTTGATGGACCTGAATAGACACTACAATTCGTATAATTTTGTCAGTTTCTCACGATTTCTCTAATGGCCAAATTCCGTTTAATAAATTTTATACTATATTTCAGATTGATGATTGATGAGTGGAATCTTAGATATCATTGTTATTTAGAAAACAGAATTTTGCAATAAAATATTTAAAAAAAAAATTAAAAAGTTTTTTAATGAAATTGATTGCGAATGACGATTTTTAATTATTTTTTTTTCTTATTTGATATATTTATTCTTTTTTAAATTAATATAAAGTAATTACATTTTATATTGGAAATGTATATTTATTTTTTGATTTATAAGTTTTTGTTGTAATTAATTTGAATTATAGCACAAAGAAGAAAACAAATAGATATAATATTATATAATGTATATTATATAATATATGTTATAATAATTAATAATTTGATTTTTCATAATCATTTTCATAATTCGTTTTTTGCTAATAATTAATTTAAATTAATTATTAATTCATTATTCATTAATTTAAATTATTTTTTTAAATTAATGATAATAATAATAATAATTAATGAAATAATGTTACTTGGAAATTATTTGGAATAGTATGAAATTAAAATTATTTTTAATAGAATCATTATTTTTATAAATTAATATTTTTATCTGTACATGTAAAAATTATAAAATTTTATATTATATTTAGATGGAAATATTTTATATAAAATTTAAAGAATTTAATATTATATATTATATTTATATATTTTATATATATATTATATTTTCATGATTCATTTTTAAAATATATTTATGTATATTTCTTAAGAAATTTTATCCTTTCCTGAGATATTATATTAAAAAATAATAATATAATATGTATATTTTTCGCGTCCACAATAAAAATATTGTAATGGATTTGGTGGATGTAAGTTAGATGCTTATAGAATGCCCTTTAATAGATATTGTAACAAGTATATTTCTTAAAAATAAGATGGCCACTGTATAAGTGATTACACGTGCGGAACGCGCGTCTATAAAAGAATAGTCTCAGAGAATATCACAGCAAATAATCATATCCGATGATCAGAGCATGTGATATTAGAATAAAACTAATAATCGTAATTATTGTATCCAGTGATTAAATGTATTCACAATGAGATTTCCTTTACAAATAATGATAATCACAATTACAAATAAAGTAATCGTGTCCGATGGTTAAGAGTGAAACGTGTGAATCTCATCCTGAATCTCTAATTATAAGCTCATGCCCTTAGAAAATCTCGTCTTAATTCAATTGGAAAAATTTCAGTTTCTCGGTGGGATACAATAATAACCAATAACATCGCAGTCAATGCTTAATTCGCGACATCTCTAAGTTACAGAAAAATTAGATGAACTCAAACTAGGATAATATTCGTTGCTATTGAGTCAGTTGTCTGGAATATGTCACTCTTGGGATTCGGCTCCACTCCAACCAGACTGAAATATATCAAAAATATAAAATTATAAATATCGACTAAATTCTCAAAAACGACAGTCTTCTTAAATAACATCCTTTATTTAAATTTAATTAAAAGGAGCAATAATAATAGAAAATTTCTATGAAGAATTTTTCTGAAATTTAAAATCTGTTTATAATAAAATAAAAATCTGTTTATAAATCTTATGAGTAATAAGTGCTCGCGAATATATATAATATAACACCTACATGATATTAAATATAATGAATATATATAAATATATGATATTAAACATAAATATAAATTGTTATTATAAGTATCAAATTTTTTTATAAAATTATCACAAAACAATATATTGTGATTTAATAAAATAAATTCACAATTATTTAAGAAGATTCAAATAATTTTATTCAATTATTATAATATATATCCAAATAATTTTTTATTTAAAAAAATCTCAAAAAAACTTCATATACATCATTTTAATAAATATTTTATATACATTAGCTATTAATAATATAAATAAAATTATAATAAAATATTTTATCTAATATTGACAAATTTCGAATTTATTCTTTTTTATCTATTCTTAACAAATATTAATGTTTATGTTAGCAATAATATATTTTTAACGAATATTAATATTCAATAAAGCAATAACAAAAAAATAACGGTAAGGAAAAAGATCCATTTTTTTGTCGTAGTTATAAGACATTTTATTAATAACAACTTAAATTATAAAACTAGCTATATTTTTTTATGGTTAATAAAAGTATAAGTTTTATATTATTCATAATATATATATAATATAATAATAATAATATAATTAAATTCATTGAACCTTTTTTTTTATTAATAAAGTTAAATGTTTAACTTCGTTTATTGATATTCTCAATAATATTTTACTTTAATATTTTTAAACATTTTTATTTTTTCTTTATTTTTTTATTTATTTATCTTCTTACAAACTGAATTGAAACTTATTACATTCTATCTTTTAAAATTGAAATGAATATTTTTCAATCGAAAAATTTGAAAATTGAAAATGGTATTAAATCTAATAAAGGCGACTTCGAAAATAAGTATAAATAATTTTTTTCAATAATCTTTTAATTTTAATTTAATTTTGTATTATTTTTTTCAAATATATCTAAATAATAATTTAATGTATCCAAATTATAATTGGAATAATTGTAATTAATCTTTATTACATAAAGATAACTAAAATAGAGAAAACTTCTATTATTTAATTTGCTAAGAGATTGATATTACATATACAATTTTTAATTATTTATTTTTTAGAATTAATTTAACAGCATTTTTATTGATATAATCCTCATATTAATATCAGAATATATTATATATTAATATTATATATTAATATTAATTACTTCTGTACGTAATAATTATTGCTTTAAGGGAAAGAAAATTCCTTATTCTTTATATATATATATATATATATATATATATA